AACATCAGACAGACTCAAACGATAGCGAGCAGACCGGTAAGTAGGGTTGTAGTCAAGACCACACTAACCGAGACCAGAGTGCTCCAAGACCAAGACTATAAATATCACTGAAAAATCATCATCTTGTGTGCAGCAGGCGTGTCACTCACTTATACCGTAACACTGGGAAGGTCTTGGGAATAAAAATCAAACTACAAATTAATTTAGACTTGGAAAAGTAGCCCATCAGTAGTGGTTTTGACCGGTCTCTATTTAAAACCTGGAGTCCGCCCAGTCTGAAAATGAGACAAGACCGAGTAAAAAGGCTTTAGATTCCGAGACGAGACAAAGACCTTCAGCAAGTGGGCTTGAGACCAAGACCGATTTTCAAGTTCTACAACTCTACCAGGAAGCATCACTAAATGGATGTTGCGTACTTTTACGGCCCACAAACATGGCAGAAACAAAAACACAACTGATCCCCGAGCCGAGTGGAATATATAGAAAAAAGAAGAGCAGCTTGTGTAACTATGGCAACAACACAAGTGTCTTTATAAAGTCTAGTGAAGAGGACAAACCACACAGTTAGATGACCATGTCTATCGTCCTCCATGTTTGTTTATCTTCTGAAGTCACATTTGATCACAGAGATCTCAGAGTTCCTGTGAGAGCTTGTGTCTGTGGAATCGACTCTCTGTGCATACTGGTACTACAAACGTCAGGGTGTGGTCTCGTAGTCTATCCTAATCTTATAGTGTGTTAATCAGAGGATTGTTATGTCTGTGGTCATCCTCATTTTTAAAAGCAGTTAAGATTTGAAAATTGTCTAGTGCTCAGCCAGCTTCAACCAAAATACAGACTGAAACAAATGCTCCGATGATTCTTCTTCTGTTCTGTGGAGTATGAAGTGTTTCTGTCCTGTTTGCATCCCCTCCGTGTGTTTGCACTGATCCTGCAGAGTCGGAGTGAGTTTTAAACTGTTCAACGCTCTCCATCATCCGCCTCTATGTGCACAATCGCACCGCCGTCAATAAATCCAAGTACAGCCTTTCACAAACACGCCGCGCCTCATTTCCATCCATCACCTCAGCCTCACGGAGAGACGCATAATCCTTCAACAACATTTTGAGTTTTTACGATGCTCGTCTCCTCCAGCGGCCAAGTTTGTTTCGTCCACGGCGCAGCGTTCATGTCGTCGTATTTTTTTCTCCTCAGCGCGCAGGCGAGCGAGACGGCGGGTGTAATGAGAAAGATCATTGGGATGATGTATGCCGGCCTTTCTGCAGACGCTGGAGACTCTGGAGTTTGACCTCCAAACCGGCAGAGATCTCTGTATGAATATAAAGATCTGTATATAAAGTGACATAAACAAACGGACCCTCTCTGACGTTAATCTACCCACAATAAAAGTGTTTATCTTATAGACAAATCTCTTACTCTTACTGTTGGTGTGTTCGCTGGCTGTAGGGAATCACAGTACTTTTAATTGGTTCATTATGGGGGTATAAATCATGTTTAAATAATGCATAACTGATGTACCTTTACTTGGAGCTTATTTGGACCGCCATCATTAATCACATGCATTACTTAAGTTCTTTTTAAAAGACATGTAGCGGTTCATATAAAGGGGAAAGTTGAGTTCTGACCTGTAGAGAGAAACAGCTCATTTCATCACCAAGATGCCATCGGCTTATTAGTGAGGTGAAACAAACAAGGACCTTTCTTTGATACAAATCTACTCATATGTTAAATAATTACTGAAGATTAAGCAGCCAAACAACAGCCGCACTTTATTTACACTGCTCAGGAACATACATCACATAAAATACACAATATTCAAATAGTGTCTGACTGCTTATGGCCCTTCAAAGGTTCAGACTAGTAAGCTTTTTAATTCGTTATCAACTTGACTGTTAAAGGAAGACTGTTATTTACACATAAATTCAGCAGAAATCCAGTCTATCCTGTGTAAATGTGTCTCTGAGTCATGACTGTCTACAATGAGTGAGAAGCTCGAGTCCCGCTGGCTGTGTTGTTGTCAGAGTCGTGTTTACATGGACGGGACGGCCGGCTTCTCCCCTTGTGTATAAAAGCTGTTTTAGTCAAGAACTAGAGAGAAGAAGAAGAACATACTCACTGATTATTTTTCGATGTCATGTGAGCGTTTTTAGATCACGGTCGTTCTGTGTTAATCTACATGCAATGTGAAGCTACGAGCTAACTAAAGAGCGCTAACATTAGCATGCTAACACAACAATGCAGGACGCAGGTAATTGCAGCTCGAGCAAAGGACGATTTTGTCTGCAGCTTGCGCTTGACTCCTTTGTGTGATCATGAGTGGAGAGGGGTTGGAGGTGTGTCTCTGGAGGAGAGCGGAGGCTTCAGTATGGAGGAGCTGTGGCCTAACAGCAGTTTGTTTTGGTTTCATTCTGCTGCTCAAGGGCGACATCTACTGGATCAAAAAGTCTAATCTGTGAGGGAGTTTAGTTTTAATCCCTTTGACACAATCAATTAGGTTCATTAAATGTTTAACACACAATCTGGCCTCTAATAGGTCTATAAATCGTCAGTGACTCTCAGTTTCTTTTGCTCCAGTACAGAAATCATCAACAATATTTTGAGTACACACACTGTTATGAGAAGTTTGTCTCCCCGCCTGAGCCTCTGCAGCTCTAAGTCATCCACATGGAACTCATTTTTAAGAGAAAGTCAGTAAATGTCACTTTTGAAATATGTTATTTCTGCTTCTCGTCGGTATAACTGCACATCCACCATCACAGCGCTGTCACCGTGTCGCACGGCTCCACGGAGAGCGTGAACAGAGGGAGGGAGTGAGGAAGTGATTTCCGGGAGAAGAAGAAACATTCTGCTGCAGCAATGAGAGCAGTGCTGTAATAAAAAGCTCATCTGAATGTGATGGAGTTCCCGAGCTCCGTCCTTCATCGTGGCAAACGGCAGTCTGACTCTTTGCTTTGAATCTCAATGAAGAAATAAAGAATCAGTCACAGATTCTAAACTTTAACTTAAACTTCCAATGCCATCACTCACAGACGCTTTGAAAGGAGTTTGAACAGTCTCTATCAACGCAGTGATATAAATATATATTCAATAAGAGATCGTTACTGATATGAATATCTGCCGTATTTAAAGCAGAGCTAGCTGCTGAGCTGATGACAGTTAAACAAGAGCTGTTCAACTTCTCTAAATGTAAAGAAAGGAGTTTAAAGGCTTCCTTTAGCCTTTAGCATTTGGACCAACCTTTACCAAAGAAAGTGGCGCTGTTGATGACTCAGCGTTTGTCACTCTTGACGCCCTTCACACAGCAGGAACATCTGGCGAGATGAAACGGCGGGTTTCGATAAGGCCGAAACCCGCCGTGAAACTTGGGTCAGAATGGCCTTGTTAAGGCCTTACTCATTGTTATGCAGTCTTTTCTATTCTTTGCCTCGTGCTCTCAGGTTCTGCAGCTGATGGTTTGGTTTTGTATTTCCTGTGTCTGTTGCCTAATGTTCTATTTTTTGTATTATGTGCTGCAGAACAGAGACCTGCTGAAAACCAGTTTGAACTGAGTCAGGCTCGTTTAACTGTAACGTTTGTAATGTCACTTTTGGATATTTTTTCGGCCATGTTTGCCTTTCTTGGATAGGACAGCTGAAGAGAGAGACAGGGAATGATGGGAGGAGAAAGAGGGGGCTGACATGCAGCAAAGGGCGGAGGACTTAATCCTCTGTACATGGGGCGCGCGACACAACCACTAGGCTACCAGTGCCCCTGTTTATTTAAAAAAAAATGTTTCTGTATGTTAGGTGGGGGTTATTTCTGTATGAGATGGACAATTATGAAATCGTGAAACAGACTGTGGATCATCTTAGATTTATTCAGCCATGGTCAGACAACACAGAAACACAACACACATGGTTGACAAAGTGCGGACCATCGCTGACCCATGCTGACCAAGATCACACAATCATTGGCAAAGTGGCCATCATGGGCAAAATGGCAAAATGGCAAGGTCTTCATCACACAGTGTTGCTTATATTCTGCTAGAAGGTACAGCCCACAAATTCCTTTCCATTTGGGTACATCACCATAAAACAATAAAGATGACATGACACTGATTTGTATACGTAACAGATGTAGACTCTCTGTCTAGCAAACAGTTGCTGACAACATATAGTTGGCTCCTATCCATTTATAGATCTGCTACTACTTAGGTGCTTCACCCATATAAGGTTACAGCTTCACAGACCCAAAAGAAGAATTACTGTGAGATGGTTGACACAATTTAAAAATATGTCCACAAAATGATCAAGGTGAATGAATCCATGAAAATACGTACTAACACTGTATAATACTAATACTACATGAATGTGTGTCCACTTCAAGACAAAGAGTATACAGAGCAGGAGAGAGGAGGAAAATGCTTGCTGCTTACCTGTCTGCATAATAGACATTAAAATTATCTTTAGCCTTGGAAAATAAATGAAACATCTCAGTGCATTTTGGCAGAATGAGAACATTGCATATGTCAATTTGTACCTGCAGCAAAGATTTTCTGGAGCAGTGATTCTTTTGAGAAGGTCATTCCACTTATTTTCTTGCTCTGCTGTGTTTACATCCTCTGCATGTTTCATAAAAGGTTGTTTTGTCTTTTAAAATGTTTTTTTTTTTAAGTTGATGTTGATGATCTTCTCAGGGCCAAGTACAACGGTGAGTTTCAAAAAACTGTCATTCTGATTCAGTAACGTTGAACCAGCAAAAACAGCAGACCAATTAGTACTTTATCACTCAAGTGAAGGTTTTACATTTCATCCACTATCTGCTCTGTTCGGTCTCTCTCTGCAGTTTGATCCTCAGGTAGTCCACCTACAGTTGTTAGCATTCAGCATGTAAAGGTTAAAAGACGCTGGAGCTGGGGGCGAGTCCAGAGGAGTGGCATGGGCAGATCATTTCTATCTGGATCAAATCTTTTGAACTACCAGGAAATGGATATTAGCAGCCAACATTATCTTCCTCTAAGGATGGTTGGATTCAGCCTTAGAGATAGGATGAAGTCTTCAGACATCCGCAGGGAACTGGTAGTAGAAGAGGTGGTTCTGGCATCTGATCAGGATGCCTCCTGGTTGCCTTGGGAGGTCTTCCTGGCAAGTCCAACTGGGAGGAAATCCTGTAATAGACCCAGAGCCAGCTGTACAAATTTATATAACCCATCTTTTGGAACTCTTGAGGAACTGCACTTATTTGCACATCTCTATTGGAGTATTTTTAACATGAGAAATCTGGTTTTACATTTCTTTTTACATCAAGTTTAATAAATTGATGTGGATTTAAACTGCTGTCCAATTTAAAATTAATTAATGAGATAAATGATTCTAAATAACTGCTGCTGTCCATCTGTCTGTCTAACCATGATAGATCTCTCGGCCTCTTAGTGTTTAGCAGAGACGTTCAGAGTCTCGTCAGCTTTCACACCTCGGAGAGCACTCTACACAGCATTTTGTAAAGAACACACCTGTGTGCAGAGAGAGAACTGAAGGGGCTATTTCCTCCGCTAATATCGCCCCAGAGGGAGCAGACGATCGGTCAGCTGCAATTCCCCCGGGGGAGCCTCTGCCCTCCTCAGCCTCAGGAGGATAACAGAGCATCTCATCTGTCACTCCGCACTGCAGGACTCCTCTTATTATAGGCTGGACTGTTTCAAGAATACTGTCATCATATAGAAAGGACTCACCTTGTACTGCAGGTTAGGTTACCACACAGCGGTGTCAATCACAGACTGGCCTCTCATTTATCACTGCCAGCAGCTGCCGTGTTCCTATCAGACAGTAATAATGGACAGCAGAATCATCCTGAACTCGATAGACACACAGGACTGATATCTCAAGGTTGTGATACACAAGCGGGCTTTAAATGAGGCATGCTACTTTGATCTCAACGTAAACACATCAGGCTCCTATTTTTGATACAAGGATACCAGTCCAGCTATTACCTGACCGTGTCACAATGAGAACGCTTCTGGATGAAAAGGCCACGTTTTTGGGGTCTCCCTATAGCTGGAGGTTATTTCAAGACAGGCTTTCTATTTCATCAAGACCTGCTAAGATCTGATTCTTTTTGTTTGGTTGTTCACATCACTTTGTATCAGACTCCTGCATGATCTGGTCCCTGTCCCTGAACTGCTTGGATGTGTGAAAGAACGACAATAAAGACACAGCTCAGTGTTAACCAAAGTGAACATGGCGTCCACTACGTAGGCACGATGGCAATTTGATGTGTAGCAGAGCAGATGGCAGTGAAGACGAGAGAGTCAAAGTTTTAAGGATGGCTTTCTGTGGAGTATGTGGCTGATATGTCAGCACAGATATGTGTGGATGCAGAGTCGGAGCCAGGAGTGGTTGGATCAGGACGTCAGTGGTTTCACAGGCAGAGATTACCTCCAGATATACTGGATTTCAAGAGATACTTTTGACTGCTCCTTTCAGCACTTCTTCACAAGACTCTCAAGGCGAGACACAGTCAAGGAGACCATTCTCCCTCGGAAGCATGGCGGAGTATTACCTGTCAATACGGCGGGTTTCAGCACGTACCTGTTTGCCCGATTCATTACAACTTAAGCAAGGCTGTTAGCCGTGTCCTTATAACTTTAATGAGATAACCTCAAGAAGTCAAGAGTCAGATTTTAGAAAACTGTCTGAAGAAAGAAACAAAGAAAACCCCAGTCCAGGCTGCTCAGCTTCTCTTTGTTTTAAGAATTAAATTAAAGAATTAAATAATTAAATTTAAGAACTACTTAACTCTTCAAACCTTTGACAGGACGGAGAATTTAAATGAGCTGGATTTAACTAAATAATAACGTGCTGATGGAAGCCGTGCTTAATGTGAGAAGTGAAGATGTGCAGACAAAAGAACAGCCTGTGTGAGTGAGTGTCTAAAAATACAGAATATGTTAAACCAAACTAGTGGCTCGAGTTTTAAAAATGCAGGAAACCAGCCCACAGACTTCAGTTTTCTGACAGGTTGGCATGAAAGCTGCTGCCCCCCTGCCCTACACACACACACACACACACACACACACACACACACACTAACAGTTCTGAAATGTCACTGTATGCAAATGCTTCATAATTTACCTGACTGCTCTCACACCTTTCATCTTGAAACGCTCAAACCTGTGAAACAAAACGAGGAGGTGTTCATGTTTTAAGCTTTGGTTTAGAACCTGCAGCTCTTTGAAAGACTGACAGGTGACGGACATCAGGGCTGAGTCTGTGTGATGAGGCCGCCATTATGTGTGCGGTATGCACAGAATCATTGTGTGTGTGAGTGTGTGTGCAGTAAGCACAGAGTCAGTAACACAGCAGTCAGTGAGTCTGTAAATTAATTTTGGGTCCAGCAGCCATGACTTGTTGAAACAGAGCGTCTGGAGAGCCAATCAGTGTCACAAAAAGACAATTACTGAATGAAAATTCTGGACACTTGACTAGGCGCTGTGTGTGTGTGTGTGTGTGTGTGTGTTTGTGTGTGTGTGAGAGAGAGTGAGTGAGAGAGAGAGGGAATTTGTGCCTGATGAGGAGGCAGCTGGTTATTGTGTATTCGTCAGGCGACACTGACATCAAGTGGATGTTTGAAGGAGTTTTTTCTTATTGTAATCTGAGCCTGTTGATCAAAAAGCATAACCTGGATCTTTTTGGTCTGGATTTGGAAATCCACTTTCCTGCTGTCCAGATTTTTTTAAAGCAAAAACTGACTGGATTAAACTGTTCCAGGTACAGACTTTAAGGATAACAAATCAGGACTACAATGGACAGTTCCTGGAGAAACTACAGCGTGAGAGCTGGCTGCTGTGAGCTGCAGCGGCTGCTATCACTGATGCCTTTCAATAGAAGTAGTCTTTTTATGTATTTGCAAATGCATAAATATAGCCCCAATACAGGTCCACAAATGCATGCTCGGATCTGCAGCCTTTTGCAACAGATCCAAAATTGCATGTTTTGATCAAGGACAGCGTGTCCCAGCCTCCTCCTGTTGAAACAGGATGAAGCCAGAATATCTCTATAATTAGACCTGCACTTGATACATTCAATTTTACTTAAAAAAATGTTTTAACATGGCGGGACTTGTCCAGAGGTACAGTGACCATATGACCAAGTCATGGACAAATGCTAACCTGGGATAGGCCGTTGAAATCTGATCCATCAAGGCAACAGTTGAAGATTCAGTTCTTGCTGCATCAGCACAGACATGGTTTTCTGTGCTTTCAGGGCAGAGTGCATTTCTGACCTCCCTCATTTTACAAATACAAGATTTTTCAAGATTCGAAAACCAACCTCTCGCACTGCATGGACGAGTTGTTATTTGATGAAAAAAGGCTGAGCTCTTTTACATTGGAACTGGATTTGCAGTGATAGCTGTGTGCTACATATGCTTTTTTTTTCTTTATTGAACACAGCTGTCCATCCAGTGGATACCAAGGATGGAACAGGGATGTGGTGTTGTCCTGTGCTGACTTTTTTTTCACCATCATCCTCTGGAGGGAAGCATCACTTAAAACAATGATGATTGACACATCCATCAAAAAAAGACGACAGCCATAGATTTGGTGATAAGTTAAGGTCTAGCTAAGAACATCAGGTAAATGTCTGCACGTGTTAGGTTGGACTACATTAATTTGATATGACTGTGTTTACTTGGGAAACAAAATTAGACATGTGTAATGTCCAGGAAGACCACATGATTAATTTTCTTTCAGCTGCACTTATCTGTTTCCTGTCTCTCAGCAAAGGTCTTACAAAGAGACCAGTTGTTCTGTCTTGAAGCAGGTCAATCATCTGGGAAAGGGACTTCAGGTGATTCCCATGCATGAAACGAATGAATGTCATCATAAACTAAAACAAGAAGACATCCCTGTAATGTGAAGGATGTTGTCTGTTAAATATTTTAATTTCAGGAGGCTGAGAGATAAGAGGAAGTAAAAAAGGAAAAGATACTTTATGCTATTTTTCTGCCAAGTCATGGAGACTTGTTCCTAAGTTGTTCAGACAAGCGGAACAGGTTTGTCGGCATGCAGAAGTTTTTCTTAGCTCAGTTTCTGGTAAGCTCTTGTTGATGTTACCTTTTTAAAGATTGACCTTAATGCATGAAATGAATGTGTCACTGTCCACCAGTCATTGGTTATATGTCTTTGAATTGTTCATAATTGCACTGTGCAAAAAATGTGTTTTGTGACTTCGGTCTCAAAACCCACAAGACTGTTTTTTTTTCTACCTGCATACAAAAGAAAAAGCCGAATACTTCGGATAACTCTTTAAGTAGTGTCATCCAGTTTAATCTACTTCCTTCATCACAGCTACTGTCAGAGATAGGTGGAGTGTTGAAAGTCGTTCTGGTCTTTAATTTCTTGAAACCAGTGTTTAGCTTCTCATGAAGAATGTTGCTTTTTACATTCAGTGTGACGAAAGCTGTGGACACTTTCACATACCTTGAATGAATGCTGGCACACAAACCTGACAGAACTGGAGTTACGTGTTTCATCCCACTTACAAACATGTGAGTCATAGTTCAAGTTGCCCTAACTATGTAGCCCACAGACATGAAAGCAGGTGAATGATGAAGAAAAAGCCTGCCTCGATTGTGAGTGGAAATGAGGCTGGTTCAAAAGCATGAAACATCCACTTTAAGATGGCGGCATTAAAATATGACATTCCACACGTTCTGTGACTTGATTGTATGTTTGGGAAAAACACGCTTCTCTTCCTCCTGCTTGGAAATACCTGTCGAACAGAGAGAGGAACCGCCCATGTGAGAGAGACAGATAATGTCATGACAACATTGTTAGAAAGAAATATTCATAGCATGAGAGGAGACACAACAGCAGGACCCTTACAGATTTTCAACATGAGCAAAGAATACTATAACGGTAAGAGTTGGGGGGTTATCCTGTTAATATGACCGCTCGGTGGAGTTATTGACTTTGTGAGATATTTACTTTTAAAAAATGTATTTTATTGATTATTTTTCAATATCACCTTTTGTCAAGTTTATAAATCTTATTTTTAATTAATCAAAGTTTGACATTGCATGACAACTTTGATGTTGAACTATGATGAACTACAAGCACAGTGGTTGGGTTTTTGTATTATTCCAATTTTCCAGACAGCTTCAAAGTTAAGTATACTTAAAGACTGTTTATTAAAGCACTTAACATACAATTAAATACCCATACTTCTCCTTTCCTATTATTGATGCAATTATGTATGACCATCTGCGTGTAGCTATAACTACACTAATCTAATGCAATTAATTATGACTTTACATAATCATTGTTGGGCTAGTTCATTTTGGGTACAGGATAGCTTGTTTTCTTTGTATGCTAGCTTAGCAGAGCTAAATATAGCATCAGTTTGCTTCCCTACATCTTGTTCAATTAGTCACTTGGCTGTGTGGTTTGCTCTGGCAGTAAATTATGTCATCTGAAAGACATTTAAAAAAGGTTAGGCTGCTGCCTAAATGACATATTTACAAACCTCCTGATCTCTAACTTTTCCCGCAAACCCACATTTATCGATCCACAGTTTGATCACCTGCACTGATCACAAGGTGGAAGGTTAAGTTGCCTCCTGAGTAGCCTGTTTAAGTTGGTTGTAATTGTTGTTTGCCTCACAGAATGAGGTCACAACAGTGCTTCTTCCAGCCTGTACCTACCATTTGTGTTTAATAGTTTCAAAATAGCTTTGTATGTAACATTTTCAAGCTCTGTGTCCCAACAAATATATATAAGAACAAATACTATACAGTTGTTAATTGTCTAATTTAGTTTCTCAAACACTTAAATGTGTCTCTAGTCTGTCTACAAAACCCCCAATGATTAAAAAAGTCCATCCCTGTCTATTGCCTGCTCCACTTTTCATAAAATGTGTGCTCAAACAAGCCGTTTGGAGATGTTCCATTCATGACGTCACAAAGGGCAGTCACCCCTCCCCCAGGTGGGTGACACTCCCACAGCTAGGTGTTTGTTCTGCCCTCTGAGTCTGCCTTCTCACAGTAAACAGTAGGACATGGAGCGAGAAAGCCTGAGACACCCAAGACCTTCCAGAGAGGGGGCGTGGTCAGACACAGCTCATTTAGATTTAAAGGTACAGACACAGAAACAGCCTGTTCTGAGCAGGGCTGAAATAGAGAGGTTTATAGGCATAATCAAATACAGGATCAGAGTGGATTTAGAACAAGAAACTTCACAGACATGTTTTGAGGAGCTCTGAGACTTATTTAAACTGGTTAAAAAAGAGAAGAATATGTGACCTTTAAGTTTTTGTGTTACTTTTAAAATTGTATTTGTGTCTGTGAATACTGCCTTGATATTCTGTCACTTATTTACTTACTGTGTTCTGTCTTACATTACTTCGAAAAGCTTTGGTATTGGAAGGTGCTGCACATTTAAACTGGTTCTGGTTTTTAAGAATTCTTTGAATATATTATTCTTTGGATATAAGGGCCCTGACACCTGTTGGATATCACCATTATTGCATTACCCAAAAATAACAAAGACTATAACAGTTTGAGTTTGAATAACTGACTGATATTTTCCCATGAGTGGTCACTCTAATCTTTCATTTCAAAAACAAAAACAGTCTTTTCATCATTACTGTGCTCTCATAGCCCCCCTGTTTTTGACAGAACATCACTGTATGTAGGGCTGGGCGATACAATTATTGCGATTACGTTTAGGTCATTGACATTACAGCCTATCACACAACGGCTAAAAGGCATTCAATCTGTAGGTTGGAGCTGGAATTCCCACCATCAAAAGTAGTCAAATCGGCCAATTTCATTACACTCTTTTTATTTATCTTTCTATTAACTTCATGTCAAAACCATTTTAAGAATTTGTTTGTAACACCCACATGGCATGGAGGAGAGGGTTAAAACAAGGAACTCAGATCATAGCTGCTGAAGTCCCAACAAAGTCGACTAGTCCCTCGTACTGGTTTCAATAACTCGGTACATTGGTTTATGAGAAGAGGAGACCTGAGAGTAATTCAGATAAGGGTACAAAAATAAATTCTGGCCAGAAACTAAGCTAATATACTTCTAAATTGGTAGGATAATCAGGTAGTACATCATGATAAAGAATAATCTTGATCATTGAAGGATCACTATCTTAGTTTTGCCTGTATCGCCCAGCCCTTACTGCATGATAAACAGTGTATTTCTGTCTGACAGGGTACGGAGGAGCCACTGACTCAGATGAAAGGAGGATTGTTCTGGTTGGAAAGACCGGCGTAGGGAAGAGCGCGGCAGGAAACACCATCCTGGGCAGAGAAGCGTTTGAGTCGGAGCTGTCTCCATCTTCCCAAACTGCTGAATGTCAGAAAGCTAAAGGGAATGTTGGAGGCAGAAAAGTGGCTGTCATCGACACTCCGGGGTTGTTTGACACAAATTTCACTCAAGAAGAAGTGCTGAAGAGGATCAAGATGTGCATCTCCCTGTCGGCTCCGGGTCCTCATGCCTTCCTGGTGGTTCTTCAGCTGGGCAGGTTCACGCAGGAGGAGAAGGACACCATCAAGATGATCCAGATCACTTTTGGGGAAGATGCTGCAAGATATACGATGGTGTTGTTCACCCACGGAGACCAGCTGAGGAACCAAACCATCGAGGGGTACTTGGCTGAGAGTCCTGACCTTAAAGCCTTCATCCGGACCTGCTACAACCGATACCACGTCTTCAACAACGAAATCAAAGACCCAGAGCAAGTCAATCAGCTCGTGGACAAAATCAACAAGATGACCATGGCTAACGGCGGCGGCTTCTACACCAATGAAATGTTCTTGAAAGCAGAGGAGGCCATAGATAAGGAGACAAAGCGCCTCATGAAGGAGTTAGAGGAACAGAGGCAGAAGGAGCTGAATCAACTGAGATCCAGATATACAGGATCCACATACCGCAGGGAGGAGCGGCTGGTGTACAAGAGATACGAGTGTCAAGCCAGATCTCAGGCTGAGAGATCAAATGATTTTATTTCTGCTCCAGCTATTCTGATAGCTGCGTCGTTTGGCGCTGCTGTCGGAGGGATTCTGGGTATTGCAGGGGGTCCAATTGGTGTCGCAGTCGGCGTTGCAGTCGGTGCAGGAGTTGGAGCAGCAGTTGGAGTCTTAACTGTCAAAGCCTCAGATAAATGCAATGTTCAATGAGAAGAGCCAACCCAGTCTAACAGCAGTTCATTAAATAGTCACAACATGTGAGTCCTGTACGTGAATACTATACTCTTCTGTGTGTGTCAGACTTTCAAACGACTCCTTTCAAGTTGAAGCATATTTCTCACCTGCTGCATGAAATTGTTTTTGTCATCCCCAATGCCGCAAAACCCAGTGGGGATTTAAATTAAATTCAGGGCAGTCTTCATATCCGTGTGAAAATGATCCTTCTTTTGACCAGACCATCAATGCTTGTTCTTGTCTTTTGCCTGCTCCACTTTTCATAAAATGTGTACTCAAACAGGCCGTTTGGAGATGTTCCCTTCATGACATCACAAAGGACAGTAACCCCTCCCCCAGGTGGGTGACACTCCCACAGCTAGGTGTTTGTTCTGCCCTCTGAGTCTGCCTTCTCACAGTAAACAACAGGACATGGCGCGAGAAAGCCCGAGACACCCGAGCCCTTCCAGAGAGGGGCGTAGTCAGACACAGCTCATTTACATTTAAAGGTACAGACATAGAAACAGCCTGTTCTGAGCAGGGCTGAAATAGAGGGGTTCATAGACATGATCAAATACAGAATCAGAGTGGATTTAGAACAAAAAACTTTTTTTAAAGTTTGTCAACCTTCAAGGGTTCAAAGTGCTCAGGATGAATTAAGCCGGGTCTTTGTAATATAGCATTAAGTAAGGTCTTTTACCTGCTCTTTGTAAGATAACAATGCGCCTTGGCTGTTGACAAAGAGCGTTTTGCTAGTTTAGCCCAAATCATCTCATGCTAAACCTTAATACAGACTATACTGAGGTGCATCTGGTGCCTAAAAACGACTTGGTCAGCTGTAAGAACAAAACAAAGAATAACAGAGGAAAGTTAAAATCAAAGGAAGTTAACTCAGTGAAGTGTTTCTCTGCCTCTGCCTGACACCTACCTCCAGGCATTGATAACTTTGTAAAAAGTAATCTTGTAAATATTGCATTTATTCTTGTAAATGTAGATCTTTAACATTCTTGCCTTTGTGTTTGAATTGTGTCGATCACTCTGTTTGGAGTCTCTGCCTTTGCCTTGTCTTTCAAAGCACTTTGTAAACATCTGTTTTTAAAGGTTTTATATAAATAAAGCTATTATCATGAAGTTGTATTTTTCGACAATGGTCTGGTGAATATTCTGTTGTAGCTCATAAAGAGACATTAACTTTAATCTCAGTTTGGTTTGTAACCAGCGAAAAACTCCTGACAGGAGTCTAAAGTAGCTGAGTGGTTTAGTGATACAACCTTATTTATGCCAGTGAATCATTTTGCTCTCCATGCTTTCTCTGTGGACGCTTTTCTATCTCAACTTCATGAGCACAATTATTTTCCCATGTGAAACGAGAGGACAATATGAATTAGTAATTCATTAAGGACACTACGAAAAATGTAATTAATGTTATGTATGCTATGTTACATATTTGTATCACCTTCCTCTGTAAGGCTTTCAGAGGCATGAAACATTTTGCCAAAGCGGGGAAATGTTCTGCACATGTTTTGTGACTGTTTATGCATTTATAGGAGAATGGTTTGTCAGAACATACAGTTAAAGTTTGTTTAGTAATGTTTACTGTGAAAACATTTGTATTATTCTAAATTCTGATGTCATCTGCATTTTTTACCTTTGTTAAATCTTTGCACATCTGACAGTGCACACGACTCTCATGATGTTACGAATCACTTTATATCTGATAAATTTTGTGCATAAAAGCTAATCAACATCAACATGTACCATCCTGCTACTTATAGAGTTTTTATTTATGTGCAATAAAATTAAAGAACTAATCCTGCTGGACTCAGGCTGAATGATTTTTGGTGTCGTACATGAATGGTGAGGGAGTCTTAAGAGTCTTAACATTAAATAAAGCTGCATTCAGATTGTTTGCTCATTAAAGAAATTTAAGAGATGTTGCTTTGTTTTGTGTACACAGGATCAAAAAGCAGAAGAAGAGTGACGCTCTCCGGATCATTATGTTGGGGAAGACCGGCGCAGGGAAGAGCGCGACTGGAAACACCATCCTGGACAGAGAGGCGTTCCAGTCTGAGCTGTCCTCTTCATCCTGGACTTTTCAATGCAAGAGAGCCGACGGAGAGGTCGGGGGTCGAAAGGTGGCGGTCATCGACACCCCAGGGCTGTTTGACACTAATTTCAACGAAGAAGAAGTGTTCAAGAGGATCCAGCCGTGTATGACGCTGGCTGCTCCCGGTCCGCACGCCTTCCTGGTGGTTCTCCAGCTGGGCCGGTTCACCAAAGAGGAGAGGGACACCATCAAGATGATCCAGTCCTATTTCGGGGAGGATGCAGAGAGGTACTCTTTAGTGTTGTTCACACACGGAGACAAGCTAAAGAAGCAAACGATTGAGACCTTCATCTCAAAGAGTGAAGAGCTGAAGGGGCTCATTGAGATGTGCTACGGCAGATATCACGTCTTCAACAACCGACTCAGTGCCCGGGAACAGACCGTTCAGCTCATGGACAAGATCGACAGGATGATTCTGGAGAACGAGGGGGGGTACTACTCCGTCAAGATGTTCAGAAAAGCAAAAAAGGCGTCAAAGAAAGCGAAAAAGAGAATTTCAAAGGAGCAGCAGGACGTCGAGCAGGAGAAGAGGAACACGCTGAGGGCTGAAGTGGCTAGAGACATGGGTTTGACAGAAGAGACAAAGAAACAAATATGTCTTCTGCAGTAGGACATGGGGGGTTCTCAGGATTCTGTCCCCTGCTGGCATTAAACCCAGAGGCTGCATCCCCTTTATGTTAGGTTTGAAGTGAATCTGCAACCAAATGTTTTGCAAAGGATTTCTTCAAACTTGTGGACTTAACAGTATTTTAAGCTAACAGTTAATTTTGTCACTCATTGATCTAAATGTATAGCTCTAGCTAAAGTTCAGTCAGGAAAACTTTATATTCTGCTCACATCTATCTATAGCAGTGCTTTATTCCCTCATCGTTAGCCTATCATGTTGCTGCTGTCTTCCACAAGTTCATTCATGTCATCGTTGCCACCAAACCTTTGCAGTTTCATCATCCTCTTCCTCCGATCAGCCCCAGATCACAGCATAATCTGGTCACCCCCAATCTTCATATTAGTCTGGTCAGCTTCTTCAGCCCATCAGCCTCAGATGACATCATCAGCTAAAGCCCTCCACCGTCAGTGTATTGACTCCACTGGGGGATAATCATTCAAAATCACATCATCATGTAGAATACATATCTATCTTTGATTAATTTACTTGTCTCTCCTGAAATTGTAATGGTTTTATTACATGTTTTATATTGTAGGGTATAAATTTAAATATCACCATCATCATTGAGGGAGCTGGGTCTTTAGCTTTTTCTTAAAGGTGCAAAGGGACTCTGCAGATCGAATTGAGTTTGGAAGTTTGTTCCACTACCAGGGGGCGACAGAGGAGAAGAGTCTAGTTAGAGACCTGTTGTGAAGGTTTTGATCAGAGCGTAGTGGGCGGGAGGGAGTGTAGACCTGGATTATAGAGCGTAGGTAAGTAGGTGATGTTTTTGTAAGCGAGCAGCAGAGTTTTACATTTTTGATGCGAGCAGTAACTGGGAGCCAGTGGAGGGAGAAGAGCAGCGGAGTGACATGTGCTCTTAGGTTGAAGACCAGTCGTCATTTGACTAAAAGATGGATGGATAGTGACAGCAGGATAAGCGGGGGGTATTCATGTGCAGGTATTTTAAGTGCTCTGTGAACATTTGTATTAATGAGAAGATGTACACGATTACAGCTGTTCAAAAATAAAATCTAAATTTTGACAAAAAGTTGACAAAAACAGATGTACAGTCATCTGTAATAGAGGTAATTATTCAGCTGTCTATTTATCAGTTTAAAACAAACAAACCTCTTTAAACTTCTAAATAATGAACTGGACGATGAATGAATGGGATTTGTTTTACTGCCTGACAGTTTAATGGTGTGACAGAGGATGAATCATTTCACAGCAAACAGAAGTAGAGATTATAGCCTGCAGCTCCCGGTGAGTTCAAACATTGTTTACGCAGACAACAGCACCACCCGGTGGCTTTAGAGTGTCATTGCACCCTATTGAAGGTTGGTCATGTTTATTAGTTTAAAGTCTATATGTTCGTGTAAAATAAGTCTTGTAAAAAAAAAAAAAAAGGTTTCTCAGTTTCACTTCTGTAATGTGCATAACAACTTAAGCTTCTAGTCTTCTGACTACTCAAAGCACTTTTAAACCGCAGGTCACACCTACACATTCACACCTACACATTCACACACCTGGTGGTAGAGGCTGATTGGGGTTAAGTTTCGCACACATCGGACATGTAGCTGCAGGAGCTGGGGATCGAGACGATTTGCCAACTAGCATGTAGCTCTGTATTTAGTACTCATGTTTTTTTATCACCATTGCAACTATTATCACTTTACCCATTCTGTATTCCTCTACTGCATTAAGTTCTGTTTACATCTGTTAGTCCGATCACTGTCCATTTATACCTCTATTCTACTTTATCTATTTATTATTTTCTTCATACTGCTCTACTTTGAACTGCTCCCCAGGGACAAATAAAGTTTTTTTAAATTGAATTGTTTGGGTCTTAAGGGTCTTGTACAGTGACTCTGTTAAAACATTTGATAAAGCTTTATAGTCTCATTTATTTTTCCTTTATCTTAGAGCAAGTTACAATCTTTCAGCACAATCTCTACGAAATGAGACAACTTCTTCCTAAATAAATTAAAAGGTTAAAGGTCACAAATGTTGCTAGACAACTTTTGAGAGCACGTGACTTGTCAGCAGTTCAGTTCAGTCACGTGAGGTAGCAGGAGGAGGCTCGAGCGTGCACACAGTCCGCAGCCGGAGCTCGCGCTGCTTCCAAAGAGATTCCGTGATGGATTTGAGAGTTTCTCCGGTGTTAGCTTTAATCCTCCGTGTTTCTGCGATGCTTGTTCTAACCCTCGGTGCTCCTGCGGTTCTCTGCTCCTCTGAGGAGTACATCCTGAACGATAAAGACGGACTGGGGAGAGAGTTTGACGGGGTCGGAGGTCTGAGCGGCGGAGGGGTGAGTTCACTCTGTTTACTTCCTGCTTCAGAGTTAAAGTGACATCTTTTCATATTTTTCTGTCGTAATTTTGGTGATTATGAAGCATCATTTTTTTCCACCGGTTTCTGCAGGCGACGTCTCGTTTGTTGGTGAATTACGCAGAGCCGTACCGCAGTCAGATATTAGACTACCTGTTCAAGGTGAGCCTCGATGCAGCTCATTCATTCAGCTCACTTTAAACCACCTGAAAAATCAATACCTGTCGTCTTCTTCTGATTGCAGCCAAACTTTGGAGCCTCTCTGCACATATTGAAGGTGGAGATAGGAGGGGACGCTCAAACTACAGGTGAGGACAGAAAATAACTTCATTGTTTAAAACCTGTTTGACATCCAAGTATCGATCCTGGAGTCTGTTTTGGCCCAAGAGATTCAAAAGCTTTGTTACACACGATCCTGAGGACAGATAAGTGGAGGAAACAACCAGAAGTTATCACTGGAAACCAGCATTGTTCTCTTGAGTTTTTCATGTGAGTTTTCTTATTTTAATATTCTCCTATTATGTGTTTTTATTATTTTTTTCTCCAGATGGCACCGAGCCGTCGCACATGCACTATGAAAATGACGAGAACTACTTCAGAGGTTATGAGTGGTGGCTGATGAAAGAGGCCAAGAAGAGAAACCCAGACATCACTCTCATAGGTAAAGTTTCAGTCCTGTTCCACAGCACCATGAAGTCAGACTAGCAGCTGGGATGATAAAGATTGTATTTTGTGTGTGCAGGGCTGCCCTGGGCGTTTCCCGGTTGGGTTGGTCACGGTAAAAACTGGCCGTATGATTTCCCAGACATCACTGCGACGTACGTGGTGAACTGGATCATTGGTGCCAAACAGTACCACGACCTGGACATCCAATATGTCGGGGTGTGTTCACGTTTGATTTATCTCTTTTTCTTGTTAATGTTGCATTCCGCACAAATACAAATACCTCATCATGTGTAATCTTACCTCTAACAGTACACAAACTGTGTAATGGCTGGGTGCTATGTCAAGTTTGTAAGATATATGGTAATATTTACAAATGAGATGTAGTTTATGTTGCATGAAGATAACTTCTTCCATCGAGCCGGCAGTTCATGCATTGGGCTCTTATAGCACTTTTCTAAGTACTCAAAGATACTTAACAAAACAAAACAGTGAAAACAATACAACAAAGAAATAAATGTAGGAGAAGGAAGATGAGAACAGAGTCTGTTAAAGGTGGTAGGCGATGTAGAAAAGGAGAGTTTTTAGGGATTTCTTCAAGGTGGAGAGCGAGGGAGGATCTCTGATGGATTTTGGGCTTGAGTTCCAGAGGGTGGGAGCAGCGATGGAGAAGGCCCTGCAGCTTACGCATGCAGACCCCCCTGATCCAACCATCGGTCCTGGGGAGTCTGACCCTTCTGCATCAAACATTGAATGTTTTGTTTGAAGGATTTGTTTCAGCAGCAGATCACAAATGAAACCAAACAAGTTTGTAACTAAAACTCACTTTCCTCTTTTCAGATTTGGAACGAGCGAAACTATGACAGCAAGTACATCAAGGTAATCCTAACCTCTGAAATTTTAATGTCACACACATGGCTGTTGAAGTGCATTATGGGAAATTAGAAGAGAAAAAACAGCCACAAACAGTTGAGTTACATCCCACATGGGGGGAGATGTAGCCTGGGTTCAAAGCTTGGCTCCTCTGAGAGCGTGTCTTTATCACTAAGGTGCTCCGGGACTCTCTGGATAAAGTCGGTCTGACTGACGTCGCCATCATCGCAGCAGACGGCGACTGGAGCATCGCTAAATCTGTCATCGTTGACTCTTACCTTAACGATGCTGTTCAGGTGATCGGGTGAGTACAGCCAGCCTGAAGTCAGACGTGCAGGTGACTGAAATAAAACTCCTATAAAGTGAAGGCATGAGGTTTGACTAAGAGCTGTGAGGTGACTTAAGGACACTTCTATTTCTAACAACTGATTGACAGAACAAGTGATGCACACAAGGCGTCAACAGCTCAGTTCCTCGGTCTTCTTTCTATAAAAACCTCCTGATGTGTGGTTGAGAGCTGAATGTTTGTGGCTGTTTTTTCTCGGGGATCTGTTGTCGTTCCGTCGTACATTCAACTTCATCGTCTGCATACAGTGTGTGCATGCTCATGTGTCATTCACCTTTCTGCATGGGAACGTTTTCTTATGAAGCGCAGTGTTGCGCAACAACATTTATGTTCAGCCAAACAACTGAAATGCAGACAAAGAATTGAAAAAGAAATCTGCATCAGTTTGATATTGTATTTAGCCTTTTTCAGGGGAGGAGTATTCGCCAATAGTTGCATTTTTTACCCATAATCTTTTGCGAGTTCAAAGGGGGAATACCTGTAAAAAGCTTGAATATTTCAGGATGTCTAACAGCGAGATAAAGTCATTCAACATAGATTTGAAGCCAGTTTCTTTCCCTTCAGAAGAAGTGGTTTTTACATGGTGTCAGTAAAGTCTGCAGAGTCAGACACAGTCAGTGATTCTGTGTCTCCCTCTGCTGCTCCAGCTGCTGCGCTACACTCTGGATAAGAGCGGTCTGGAGGGGGTCAGGATCATAGCCAGTGACAACCTGTGGGAGCCCATTTCTCTGACTCTGCTGCTAGACCCTGAACTCAGCACAGCTGTAGACGTGATAGGGTAGGAGCCTCTTCTGTTCACGCTAACAGAGTCTGTCTAAAACTCATTATCACATGCATGCAAATACTAACACTGGTTATCTTTGGAGGGGCTGAGAGCGTTTGTCTTTATCTGCAGGATGTGAGAAATAACGGCACTATATATATATGTATATGTATCCCTCATTTGATTTCATTTCAGTGTGTGTGTGTGTGTGTGTGTGTGTGTGTGTGTGTGTTTGTACGTTTGTACGTTTGTACTACTCTTCTATTGGTAAAATGTGTGAACAGACCTCTGTTGTTTCTCTTCATATCGACGTGTTGTGTGCTGTGTGTCGTTCAGGGCTCACTACCCGGGCACCACCACCGTGCTGGACGCTCTGAAGACGCAGAAGAAGCTGTGGTCGTCGGAGGACTACAGCAGCTTCAACGACGAGGTGGGAGGAGGCTGCTGGGCCCGGATCCTGAACCAGAACTACGTCAACGGACTCATGACGGCGTAAGAAAATGCTCAAAAACAAGCTATAAGCAACCATTAATGAATTAATCATTGTTTAACATTTTCTGTAAGGTTTAAAAGCCCTGTGTTAATCCCTGCTGTGTGTGTGCGTGTGTGTTCTTTCCAGGACGATCTCGTGGAACCTGGTGGCGAGTTACTACGAGAAGCTCCATTTGGTAGAGACGGACTGATGACGGCCGAGGAGCCGTGGAGCGGAAACTATGTGGTGGAGTCTCCGATCTGGATCACAGGTCCGCTTTAAATACTGCACGTGTGTGTGTGTGTGTGTGTGTGTGTGTGTGTGTGTGTGGTGTGTGTGTGTGTGTGTGTGTGTGTGTGTGTGTGTGTGTGTGTGTGTGTGTGTGTGTGTGGTGTGTGTGTGTGTTGTGTGTGTGTGTGTGTGTGTGTGTGTGTGTGTGTGTGTGTGTGTGTGTGTGTGTGTGTGTGTGTGTGTGTGTGTGTGTGTGATGATAACGTCTATTTGAACAAGTAAAACACTGAACACTCCTTCATGAACTGTGCAGGAGTTCATCGTCCTGCACTAATACACGATTATGAGATACCGTATTTTCCGCACTATAAGGCGCACCGGATTATAAGGCGCACCTTCAATGAATGGCCTATTTTAGAACTGTTTTCATATATAGGGTGCACCGGATTATAAGGCGCATAGAATAGAAGATACTGCAGTCAAACGTTTGACTGGGGTTGCGTTATGCATCCACTCCTCTTCTCCCAAATGTGGAGGGGAACTTTTCCCTGATTCAGTAAACACGTAGTAAAAGAAACAGTCTGATACCACTAAATCAAACGTTAGTGCATTCACAATATAGTAACTCTCGAAATTGTTCATTCATTAGTGCATTCACAATAACTCAACGTTGTTCAAACGTTAATGTGCATATTCACAATATCTCCCAGCCTAGTTCAGTTGTAAACATGTAAAAGAAACACAGTCTGATACCGCTAATTCAAACGTTAGTGCATAACTCAACATTGTTCAGTTACGTATAACACGTAAAGCTCCGTCCACGAATCCCTCGAATTCTTCTTCTTCAGTGTCCGAATTGAACAGTTGGGCGAGTACGGCATCCAACATGCCCGGCTCCCTCTCGTCATTATCCGAGTCAGTGTCGCTGAGCGCTGTGTACAACCAGTATGGATCAACCAATTAACCAATTGATCCATATATAAGGCGCTCCGGATTATAAGGCACACTGTCGTTTTTTGAGAAAATTAAAGGCTTTTAAGTGCGCCTTATAGTGCGGAAAATACGGTACATTAACGGGGCGCTGGTGGCGCAGTGGTTAGTCCGCACGCCCCATGTATGGAGGCTGTACTTGTCAAAGCGGGCGGCCCATAATCCAGCCTGTGGCTCCATCCCGAATGTCATTCCCCACTCTCTCTCTCTCTCTATCTCTCTATCTATCTCTCCCTGTTTTCCAGCTCTATCCACTGTCCTATCCCTCCATTAAAGGCACAAAAAGCCCAAAAATAAATCTTTATTTTTCAGATGACGTAATGCCATACACTAGGGGGCAGTATACACCTTTTAGAAAGATGCATGTTTTACGTGTAACCTACGTTAAAGTCGTTTTTTTATTGAGTTAAATGAATTTAACATTTCTGTCGAATCTTTATTTTTCAGAGCTTCAGCTCTGAATCTTTGGTTTCATTTTATTTCTAGGATGATTTAACCCTGATCTGTATTCTGAAGACCTTATTCTCATGATGAACCATAGTTTGCAAAAAGACACCGGGCCTTCATTTAGAAGACTTTAGAAGTCAGAAATCTGAGAGAGAGGGTACATCAGTGAAAGGAGCCACTGGTCGGATTTGAACCTGGGCCGTCCACTTAGTTGACTAAATCCTCTGTACATGGGGCATGCACACTAACCACTAGGCTACCCAAGATGTTTTGTTTCTTCAATGTAGTGCCGATTCTTCTTTTGTGTTATTTTATGTTGAATCTCTCAACTCATTTTCTGTCATCGCTCCACCTATAGAACAAAATCAATAAAATATCCTCCTGCTTTTTATTTCAGTTTGATGCATTAATAATAAAACTTTGTGTTATTAACTTTTTAACCGTGCAAGCTGCCTGTTCCAGTTATTCCTATTCATCATGGAGTTCCCCCTCAAGAGGAATTATTTCTTATTCTGAT